TCCTAAATATCCTAATTTCCGAGTCCCACAATTTTACCTCCAGAAAGCACAAAATAAATGACAAAATGAATTAACCTCCATTATGGTCCCGTAATTATGCTTAAGCACCCTAAAATATTGGTACATTATTCCACGGATATTAGTGACAATTCCACCCATTTAGGTTCAAAAGTTCGATGTAAAATAGCGGGATAAAATTTATGTCTCGTCATATAGAACAGCGTATCAGCGTCACGTATCAACTGGTAACAAATCTTCCTGCATTCAACGATATGTGATTCATTTCGTTGCGATTCGTCAGCAACTGTTAATCTATATGCTACCAATTGCGTACACGTCGAATACGTTGTACGAAAATGTATCCATGAATTATCGTTCTTTTTCCCTGGATATATAACCCAAATAACCGGGACATAACAAACAATACTGTTTGCAAATACTTCGTAATGTTTATATTTCGTAATTGGTACTTGGCTCGAATAGCTGTTGATTTATTGTAGCGAAGTATAATGAGGGCATATAATAAACTTTGATTAAATCTGATTATATGTATATGTATGCTCTTTGTGCAGCAATTCTTTCACCGCTTCCTTGTTGGTTTTTATAACATTTATGATACTATTCATAAAATACACGACCCTTGTCGTGGGCTAAAAAACTCGACACTTTTTCAGCGGAATAATAAAATAAAAACTCTGCGTGTAGCTGCAAGGACACTATAATTCTATTTAAATTGGACACCTAATCTGCATTAAACATTCAAAATATCTTGTTGTACGATAAAATGATCTTTCTTTAGACGAATATTTTATAAATAAAATATCTTGCAATGCTGTGCTATCATAATTACTATCAAGTATTAAAACTAGTTGCTGCTAAGATTTTGTAGTCAAAAGATGACATCATTTAATGCTGTAATTTGAAATCATTATTTTCAAATCGATGGTTATGCGTGTAACGTATAAACACGGTGAAACAATAATGGAAATTAATAATATACTTTTCAACAAAAGGATTTTAAAACTTCCCTATTTGGTGGCAGTAAAAATGTCTCCAAGCGCAAAGAGTTAAACATGCCTTTGTCTAAAGTATATCAAAGAAGTCCATTTTTGTGTTCGACCTAGCAAAAGTTCTGAAAAAATAGAGCATAATTATACTAACTTCCAACTGCAGAAGAAAGTGGTTTCTCTCAGTACAAAATCTGTATTTTGTAGAACTTTCTTACACTTTACTTTACTGTATACTTTACTCAAAAAGTTCTGTAACATACTTTGCCCAGTCTCCAATGTCCTCGAATTTCTCAGAATTTTCGCAAGAAAAAAAGAGAAGTAGGAAAATGAAAAACTAGGTTAAATTTCGCTTGTATAAATCGACAAACGTTGATTTTTTTTATAAGTCATCAAATAGCACAAAGTTCGAATAACTTAACTTATCACTAATTTTCGCACTGTCACCGCTTACAAAGTGTTCTCTACATATACGGTTCGTTAAAGTCACTTCTTCCGTTCCGGGTGGAATTCGAGCGTTCAACAAACGCGGAACGGAAACAAAGAAAGAACAGAGAAAACAAAATTTCGGCGTTAAAAAAGAGTGGTTGCGTCGGTAGGGCCGTGCCATGCGCATTTTTTCCCCTGCGATTTCCGCTATCAAGCTACAAAAAGATCCTTGGTCGAACATTGCGACGAATAAAAGCCCTCGGTCCCATCGCGTCGGAAAAATAGCAAACCTGAGAGTTGCACGACGTTTGGATCGAGTCCGTACGCTGGTATTCCGAGTGGCTGCATTTGGCAGCGGTCGACAGGAACGTTTGAGCGATTCCGTTTATTTTCGGGTCAAGTTTTCGCCCGACCGCTTCGCAATCAGCCCCAGCATTGTCCCCAGGACAATACATTTACTAGTTCAGAGTATCCGCGCGCAGGAATTTGTCCAACGCCGAACCCTCCGCGTTCTTTACCCGCGACGCGAGTCAAACGTCGTATTTTCAACCTGGGATTTTCCGAAAATGCGATTCAACCGGCGACATTTCGTGCCGCCAACTATCCCTCGAATCCTGACATTTATTCTCCAGCAGATTTTCAGGGGATTCCGCAATAATTGACGAGTCGGGAGATAACGTGCTATCTTGCGCGGTTTCAACCTGTTTTCCTTTGTTCGTTATGGTGGAGGTATCTACGCAACCAGGCTCACTTCAAATGACATAACATGAACATTTTTATGTTCACAAGTTTATCAATTTTCACAATTTTTGAAATCTTCAGATTGTCACATTGTTAAATTAGTAAATTATCAAATTATCAAATTGTCAAATTGTCACACTGTAAAATTGTCACATTGTCACATTGTCGAATTGCCACATTGTCGAATTGTCAGATTGTCGAATTGTCACATTGTCGAATTGTCACATTGTCAAATTGTCACATTGTCAAATTGTCACATTGTCAAATTGTCACATTGTCAAATTGTCACATTGTCAAATTGTCACATTGTCAAATTGTCACATTGTCAAATTGTCACATTGTCAAATTGTCACATTGTCAAATTGTCACATTGTCAAATTGTCACATTGTCAAATTGTCACATTGTCAAATTGTCACATTGTCAAATTGTCACATTGTCAAATTGTCACATTGTCAAATTGTCACATTGTCAAATTGTCACATTGTCAAATTGTCACATTGTCAAATTGTCACATTGTCAAATTGTCACATTGTCAAATTGTCACATTGTCAAATTGTCACATTGTCAAATTGTCACATTGTCAAATTGTCACATTGTCAAATTGTCACATTGTCAAATTGTCACATTGTCAAATTGTCACATTGTCAAATTGTCACATTGTCAAATTGTCACATTGTCAAATTGTCACATTGTCAAATTGTCACATTGTCAAATTGTCACATTGTCAAATTGTCACATTATAAAATTTTCGAATTATCAAATTAATAAAATGTCGGATTGCCAGAATGCCAGATTACTAAATTGTTCTCCAAATTCTTATGCCCCTATTTCAAAATTTTTCAGAGCGATAATTTCTCTTCTAACACTCGTATAAAGTATACGTAACACGCGGTTAGCTACAATCTAATTCGAACCAGTAACAAATGTGAATCCACGTAAAATATTGACATTAAAACCTTGTTAATCTATCAACTTCCCAACTAGTTAGTTGGACGATACGTTCGAATATCGACCACGAAACAACTGGAATCCGTAAAGGCTACTTTATTCAAACTCGACGCTTTCATTGTACCTGAACCAACGTTTACCTTGGCACCGATGAAAACCGTTTAAAGTTATAAGTCACGTTTCACGGAAAACGACTGGCCGTTAAGTTAACTGCGAAAGGAGGGCTTGTTAGAAGGCTGCGAAATGAACGAAGTTTCAGCAACGGCTACAAAGACTTCTCTCTCGTTCCTCGGACGCGTGCTAATAGTACGTTTGGTCCGTGTTCCTTTTTCCTCGTTTTCCATCATTCCGCTTCTTCGCTCGCGCCCAAGCGATTTCAGAGGGCCATTTAGTTAATGAGCATCCGATACCAATTATTTACGGTCGCCCGTGTGACCGCCATAATAATGTCGGATGCTGTCGACGACAAAGACGACGCCGGCAACGTCGACGTCGACAACACGTGCTGTCGATACGTTAAACCCGGACACAGTTACTGTCTCCTAGGCAGTTTTATGTGTCGAATTTGACATGCCCTGCACGTACAGACTTGAAAATTTTCGAATTATCAAATTAATAAAATGTCGGATTGCCAGAATGCCAGATTACTAAATTGTTCTCCAAATTCTTATGCCCCTATTTCAAAATTTTTCAGAGCGATAATTTCTCTTCTAACACTCGTATAAAGTATACGTAACACGCGGTTAGCTACAATCTAATTCGAACCAGTAACAAATGTGAATCCACGTAAAATATTGACATTAAAACCTTGTTAATCTATCAACTTCCCAACTAGTTAGTTGGACGATACGTTCGAATATCGACCACGAAACAACTGGAATCCGTAAAGGCTACTTTATTCAAACTCGACGCTTTCATTGTACCTGAACCAACGTTTACCTTGGCACCGATGAAAACCGTTTAAAGTTATAAGTCACGTTTCACGGAAAACGACTGGCCGTTAAGTTAACTGCGAAAGGAGGGCTTGTTAGAAGGCTGCGAAATGAACGAAGTTTCAGCAACGGCTACAAAGACTTCTCTCTCGTTCCTCGGACGCGTGCTAATAGTACGTTTGGTCCGTGTTCCTTTTTCCTCGTTTTCCATCATTCCGCTTCTTCGCTCGCGCCCAAGCGATTTCAGAGGGCCATTTAGTTAATGAGCATCCGATACCAATTATTTACGGTCGCCCGTGTGACCGCCATAATAATGTCGGATGCTGTCGACGACAAAGACGACGCCGGCAACGTCGACGTCGACAACACGTGCTGTCGATACGTTAAACCCGGACACAGTTACTGTCTCCTAGGCAGTTTTATGTGTCGAATTTGACATGCCCTGCACGTACAGACTTGCCACTAGCGAAACTGTTCGGTTGGAATTACAATGGAGGGGGCAAGGTAAATGGAAGAAGAGGGTTTACAGAATAAAGGTGGACGTGGGTGACGTACACCATGGAAATCCTTTTTGTTGCTATCGCCAGCATTCGGACACATTCCTACATAGGGTATCTTTCCTGATTTTCCGAGAAAAGGAACCTCTTCGTCACATTCAAATACGTCAAGGACGTAATTCCATATAATTTCTTCGTATACAGTTTACTATCTTTAACTTGACTTTTTTCTGACAAACTTTAAAGAAATGCAAACAGCAAAAATAAAAAGTGAAGCACTTTTCGTTGACTAAATATCAACTTTAAGTTTCTATCCGTTAATAATTATGTAACGAAGTGTCTACCTTGAGCAAGTCTACCTTGAATGTCTAGATCTTGAATAATATAAATACTCAAGAGAGAAGCAAGCGAATTACTGTTCTAAACAGAATGTGAAAAGACTTACAGTTTAGGTAGAGAAGTATCCCAGCGACGAAAACGAAGATAACAACAAGTAGAACCAACAGAAGCAACAGTATAGTAGGCCTGCACCAAGGATTTCCCGGCATTTCGGTCTGCCTGCCGTCCTTGGCCCGTTTCTGATCAATGACGCTCGACTCCCCGCTAACGTTCACCACCACGCCCTTGTAAGGATACTGCGGTGCCTTCTTCTCGGCCAAGAAACCGTGATCATCCTCAGGGTCCGAGTACACCCCGTACGCCTCGAAGTTGTTCTTTCTGTACCCGTTCATTTTCTCCGCGTTAGTCTCCTCCTGATCCTGAGCCTTCCTAGCGTAGGCGGTGGACGAGGATGATCCCAGTTCACCGATCTTCAAGGTCTGATCGTACGACTTGTCCTGATACCTGGATGTCGACGAACCATCGTACTTGGCCCTCTCGTAGCTTTTCGAACTGGTCAACTCGTATTTGGAGTCGTACGCTTTGCTGCCGCTTTCGTAGGATTGCTCCTCGTACTCGTAGGATCTGGGCTCGTAGGACTTGCTGGCTTCGTACCTGGGCAGGGTACCGTACATTTTGCTGACCGAGTGGTACTTGCTTTCGTATTTCCTGCCAGCCAGGTCCTGTTGCGTGGAGCAGGACAACTCGTAAGCGGAATCGTGCGTTTTCACCCCTGACTCGTATCCCTTTGACGGGGTTGGCTCGTATACCTTGCCGGAATGATGATGGTGGTGGTGATCCTTCTTTGGTTCGAGCTTGAGCGTCTCCTCCGCGTACCGGGACGCGTACTCGTAATCGGTCAAGTCTCTCGAGTACCTTCTAGCCCCAGCTTCCTGCAACTCCGTGGGATAAGCCCTGCTGAGCTTCTGGGCATCGCTCCTCTCGTACGGCGCGTCCAAGTCCGACTCCTGGTACGTTCTCTGATCCCCTCGATGATCGTACCTCAGGTTATCCTCCGGATAAATTCTGTTATCGTATCGTTCGATATCCTCTCTGTCGTAGGGCTTACGATCGTAACCCCTGTAGCCCCTCGACTGGTCATGATAGGCCTGCTGTTCGTACGGCGGCAAACCGGAGGCCGTCTGAGGATCCTGATACGGTTTCGAGTCTTGGTACTCGAGGTACCGGGAGGATCTACGCTCGCTACCATAGTCCATCGAGCCCTCGACCACGTTCGGCAATTTGCTGCTTAAATTCTCACCGGTCCCGGCGGACAGGGCCTGACATGTCTCCGCATGCTCAACTAAGTTAGGCAGCCTCGACAACGAGCTACCTGGCGTGTTCTCCGTTAGGTCGAGCTTCAAACCGTTGCTGCTCGTCCTGCGCATTTTCAGGAATTCGCATGATCAATCTCGAGCGACGAACGACCGCGACGACCGCTCGTGTCACTCGATTCGCCCGCGACTCGATGCTTTTTTCTAGATTGATCGCATTTTGCTGATTGTTAGCGGGGAGTTGCTCGAAAGCGGCCGTTAGTGGGTTATCTGGAAAGAACAGAAGAGAAAGACGTGTTAGTGGGGTTAATTTGTTAGTAGAAAAATTTGAAAGGTTAGCATTCGATATATTGGAAAATTTTGTTAATTTAGGAATATTATTTATGAGGAAATTAATGCATTCGTAACATCACTCGACTTGCTCATACTATAGTAGATATAGTGATATAAAAAATAGGTTAAGAATTTGTTAATTGTAATATCACAATTCTGTGATGTGACTCAAAGACGGTTCACCAAGCTCTTAGAGCGTGTTTATCCGTAATCGGTTATCGATACGTGTATCTCAGTACAAAGCATTCAGGACCGCAATATTCTGTAAGCGCTTCTCCAGACTACGGTTACAGCCGTATGCTCGCTACCTTACGAATGGCTGATACAACAATGACGACGATAATACTCGATCGTGCGTGACCAAAATGCGACGTTCGTTGCAGCAAACGATAATGGTAGACCGAAATTGACATGAACCGACTGAATTTCGACAAAATCGAAGGTCTCCACAGTGATCATGTCAGTAAATCTTTTGCTTCTGATTACTGTTGATCTTTTTATCCTTTACATCTTACACACCAAAAGTCTTAACCTTTCTGTATGCAACTTGCTTATTTTTATATTTCATTGAAACAATTTTTTTTAGAAGACTGCTCATAATTTTCATACCTCTAACACTTTTATGTTCACTTACGTTTTATAATTAATATTTATACGAGAAATGTTAAATAATAAAGCTGTAGTCATATGAGTTATATTTTTTATACTCTTTCGTTAAATAAAAATTAAATTAGTTGCATTAACTACTGATGTACTCAAATAATGAAAGTTAAGCAAATGAAGACTTTTTTAAGTCTTCAATCAGCGTTAACTGTAAACTGAAAGCAATTGGTCATCGATTTCATCTGTGCATACGTATTGTTAATATGTACAGAATGAAATTAAATATTTAGTATCGATACAATATTGAATTCAACGTAAACGTTATATATAAACTTGATGCAGTATTTAATAATGTTTGTAAACGAGCTTGATTGCAGAAGCATACAAAAGATCCGAAACAATGAAATATTTTTAAAACAACGCTACGATTTTTACGTAAATTTTAAAACACGTAAATGTACAAATAGTGTGTACCAACCATTTCAAATTGAAACGCAAATGTAATGCTTTTGAAACATGCTGCCTGTAGTGATGAAAAAATCTTCAAAAACAAAAACCTCGAATCACGTAATAAAAATGATTTGGCGTTTCGGAACGAATGGTGGAATTGCGCACCCGTTAAAGCTTTACATTCGTGAATTTCATTTCGCAAAATGTTTAGAGGGAACAAATAACAAATCCTGAATCCGATACTGATTTCGCGTTTTTAATTTTGTTAAATTCCTTTGAAACAGAAATTACTTTATTATGAAAGTACTATCTGTAGAGTTAAGTCTACTGCATTAAATTTCCAGCTCGAAGTAAATATTGACCACGATTACACCGAGGAAACGACAAGTCGTTTTTATACCTGATAATTTCCGGAAGAACACCGGCAAGAATATTCGACATACATAGTTGCAGAACTTCTCAAGTAGTGTACAATGAGTGTTCGACAAACAATGTTCCAGTAGAATAGTGTTTATCCTCCATTCGTATCTATCTTACGCGAAAACCCGGCTCTCGTTAATGTGTAACAGTGTAATCTCGTCCCACGGCGAAGATACGGCGACTAGCCATAAAACGAAACTTTGTTCTTCGACATAATTGAAAATCTTTGATCGAGTCCTGATTTGCGGACCAGCGAGATTACAAACTGAATTACCCTCGGTCTTGCGACGTTTCTGCTTGTATGGAAACGTGACGAGTTTAACGGCAAAGTTCTCACAAAACGGCGGAGACTTGCGGTGAAAACGCATTCAAGTTAGTTTTCAAAGTAAATAGATCTCTCAATGCCTTGATTGCGCTTCAGATAACGAATTGCACCGTTTATTTACGATTCTACCAAACTTCTCTTATAAATACTTCTTAGTTTTATTTTCGTAACAGTGTACCCGTTTATGAGCTAATATACAATTTTTCATTTCCTCAATTTCCTAATTTTTCTATTTTTCAAGTTTTCAATTTTTCGATTTTTCAATTCTTCAATTTTTCGATTTTCCAAGTTTTAGATTTTCAGATTTTTCAATTGTCCAATTTTTAGATTTTCAGATTTTTCAATTTTTCAATTTTTCAATTTTTCAATTTTTCAATTTTTCGATTTTTCAATTTTTTAATTCATCAATTTCTCAATTTCTTAATTCATCACTGTATTATTTCCTGAATCTACAAATTCCTCGTTTCACGAATTGACAAATCGACGAATCGTCGAATGAACGACTGAATAAATTAATATATTGATGATTCGGTCAATCGATTATTTAATTGGCAAATGGAAGAATTAACGAATTGGTGAATTGACGAACAGACGAATGAATGAATCGACAAATCAACAAATCTTGATGAGTCGATAAAAAGATGAATTGATAAATTGCTCAGTCAATGAATCGAATCAGTTAATTAACGTATCGAAAAATGGACGAACCAAGATCTTAATTACCGATTTAACAAATTGACGAACTGACGAAGCGATAAATTGAAGTAGCAGCGCGTTCATTAAGTAGTATAGCCATGAAATAAGACCGATGTCGTACAGAAGCGATAGTCTAGTGCGCCAAGTAGAGGCGGTCAGTAAGTGGTCAGCCCGGTAGTAAACTGGTCCGGAGACGTTCGCAGCTAAACACGAATCGATCATTGATCGAGCCGGCATTATCATGCGGCTCGGCTTTTCGTCGTGAAACGTTCGCTGGCAACTAAATTGTAGTAATAAGTGCGACAAGGGCTCAAAGGAAATCGCCGTTCGCATGCAAATATGATTAGTTCCGGAGGGTAACTTCATTTGCGTATATTAAAAGCGTAGATAGCTCACTTTATGCAAACGACGACAGGATGGGCGTAGTGAGGGATCCGACTATGAGAAGGGGTGGGGTCAAAACGGAAACGACGAAGGGAAAAAAAATGTTTCGCCAGGAATTATAAAAAGGTAGGTGGCCCGACGGACCGAGGAAAAATGGTCGACGGTTCGTGCAAGGCAGGATAGAAGCATTCCCCGTTTCCTGCTTCCTGATTGCCACTCGTTAAATGCTCCATCCGTGTCCCACCGTATCTCTCTTTCTCTCTCACTCCACTCTCCAACGTCGTTTGTTCGCAAAAAGATGCTCGTAATTGCGAGTCACCTCGTTATGACAATACAGCCAGAGTAAAAACGGGATGTTCACGCTTTTTAAACAGCGTTACCGGTTCGTGCATGATATATATGAATTTAGAAAGCTGCACTTTTCAAATCTCTTGTTTCCGAACTAATGACCATAGTAGTCGACGCCCACAACAATAATCAATCAATCAATCAATCTTGTTCCGAACGATAGTTATAGCCATCACTACTTGTATAACTCATGTTAAAAAATCAGCATGCTAAATTAAATTTTAGAAGGGTATGAAGTGTTGAGGGTTAATTTCCGTGGAATAAAAGAATAACCATGTTTAAAAGTATATAATGTAGAAGGATAATAATACAAAAGTAAATACAAACTAATATAATAAACTAAAGGAAAAACTATCAGTGCTACTACCGCACATCTTACTTCTATAACGGTCGCAACGGAAGTGGGAAGAACTGCACAAAATCATGGCCGAAAATCGGCACGCGTCGAGCCTACGAAATCAAAAGTCCCTAAACTGATCCCATTGCCAATCTTAGAACCAAACGGACGAACAACCTTCTTCATGAAGTTTGAAAATAATTTTTGCACACGATGAAACATGGATCGAGTGCAAACTTTATACGATTATAAGGAACTTCCAAAGTAGTGGTGTAGCAGTGGGACTAGCAGTAATGGAAACGTTTTTGGGTTTATTGAACACGGTTAATAAATTATTTGGTTTAGCATATTATATAGCATAATTGAAGCAATCATCGAGTTTTATTGTCGCGTTGTGTAATATCTGTGATGTCCCTTCTAAAAACTGATAACGTCGCGCTAACAAAAACAGATGAAGCCCAAACAATACCAGGCAGTAATTACTTTGTACCTTGTAATTTCGAAGCACCGACAGTTTCAAATCGATCGTAAAGAACAACGAAACAATCCCGTTCAACGAGCACAATCCACGTCAGGGTAATCTTCTCGACCGCGAGCAACGAGTACAAACGTAAAGTTCCACGAGACAGAGGACACAAAGCGTAACATTAATCCATACGGTAATCTCTCCGGCTGTCAGTTTTTGTCATTCGCCGGGTTTCTGTACCCTCGTGCTCGTCACCAGTCGGCAATTATTGTCACCGAGCAAACGTTGAAGCGACTGCTAACCATTCTGTACTCGTGCTTTCGTATTACAAACGTCTGACAATGTGTGCGTTCGCTCTCGAACGCTAACGGAAACTATTTTCTCTAATGAAGCGCCGTTAAAACTTTCCCGATATTACCGCTGATTCTTCGGATATGATTTGTCCACTTTAAAACTACATGTTGAATATTCCTAATAGCTCACTTTTTAGTAGTAGTTCATTTAAATAAAATATCACTTTGGTCATTGATGAAAGTCGATAAGGTTATCCTCGTTGAGGTTATGTACTCTGCTTCATCCGGGAAAATTAGCAATTACAGAACAGATGATGTTCTTACAAGTATTAAATAATTTTATAATTTTGTTCTCTTGGATGTTTGAATTATATTGAATATTTTTCAATAATGAACTAGGAGACAGTCATAATTATTTGTTGAAATTTAACGGTTATGATGATTGCTGAATAATAGAGT